TGTCTGTCTGTCTGTCTGTCTGTCTGTCTGTCTGTGTGTGTGTGTGTGTGTGTGTGTCAGTGGTGGGTTTCAAAATTTTTTGGAACCTCTTCTGTAGGTGTGGCCTGCTTTCCGGGTCCACTGGTGGAACCTCTTCTAACCGGTTCGGTAGATTTGACAAACCGGTTCTACCGAATAGGTGCGAACTGGTAGGAACCCACCTCTGATTCACCCAAACCGGCTGAATACCACCTCTGAGAGAGTTAGCATGTCAGGACCTCAGACATCTAGATCAGTGGTCTCCAACCTTGGCAACTTTAAGACCGGCTGAGGAACTCTGGGAATTGAAGTCCACAGGTCTTAAAGTTGCCAAGGTTGGAGACCACTGATCTAGATGACCATCAGATGGGATGAAAGAGATGATGTATCTTTGCTGCCATCTAATGGTCATCTTATTTTTGTAGCCCAAATATGGTGGCCCTTCTCTTGCAACATTTCATGGATGAAGACTGACTTGGCTTGTTGGGCTTCCAAGGAATTGTGTGGTGTTGAGTCAGAATAGTTTGTGTAGGAATGAATTGGACAAGGCACAACAAATGGATCTCAGGCGAGCTTGTATGTTTTTTTTCTTTTCTCTTAGAGCGGCCAGTGAAAATTTGATCATTTAATTACAGTAATTTAATTTATTTATCAGGTCAGCCAATGTTGCCAAGACCTGACAGTGAAAATCCAAAAATCTCATATCTGTGTGCATGAGCGGTAATAGTATGTGTTGTGGTGAATACAAAAGAGGAAGTTGTCTGTGGGTGAGAGAGAGGAGGGGAGAAGGAGAATCTGTAGTGTTTTCCATCTTTGGAAACTTTAAAATGGGTGGACCCCCAACTCCCAGAATGCTGAAGTCCCATTTTAAAGTTGCTAAGGTTGGAACACTGGTTGAATAGTTTTGCTGAAGACACATTTAACCCTATTATTAACTGGAAGTATAGTTGGTGGTTTAAAAAAAGCCCTTCTCATTTGTACTCCTTTCTAACCCTAATATCCTGCTTGGGTGATGGAGACTAGGGATCGCCTCCTTCACATCATATCTATGTATTATCCAATTCCAATTTTACAATCCTCAAAGTATTCTGTTCCAACTCCTTTTCCTCATCTCCAACGATTGATACATTTTATTCCAAATTTCATAATATTCCGTCTCGTCTCTATTTTTGATTTTTAACGTCAGTCTGTCCATTTCTGCACAGACCAAAATTTCCTTTATTACCTCTTCTTCGGTGGGGGCATCTCTGTTTTTCCAATTTTGCGCATATGCCAATCTTGCTTGCGGTTATCACATGCAGCATTAAATGTATCACTCCTTTACTATATATTTCTTTTGTTAGGGAATAGCCAAGTTTTTGAAGTCCTCCTAAAGGCCGGAAGGTTTGGGGCTAACCAAATACACGTGGGTGGGTCTTTGTATCTCTCTGTGTGTATATGTGATTCTAAAGGGCAGATGCTGCTGCTAAGAGAACAGGCATTCTGTCTGGATCTCATCAGACATCACTCTTAATGAAGGACTTATCCTGTGAGTGGGATGGGTAGCTGTCCTTGAGGACAGGCAGTTTGTCAAATAACAGTTTAGCGGCTGTAACCATTTCTGCACAGTTGGAAGTTATCAGCAGAACTGGACTCTGTCTCCTCCAAGGCTCTATTTTTCACCGATTTCCACCTTTGTCCTCCACCTTTCCTGGTTCATTGTTATTCTGACTGCTCCCCATTCCTCCATCTTCTGACTACAAAAAGATGAAGTCCCTCTTCCTTTGCAATCTGATAGGACTTATGATAGGAATGATGCAACGGAGCAGGTGGAGGGTCATCTGNCCTGAGTCCCGCCGGGAATAGGGCGGCATATAAATAAAATGAACCTTCAACCTTGAACCATGTATACATACTGTATTTCTTTTAAAGCTAATCACTTTAAAAGAAAATCATGAGCATTACTGTTCTACTCTGATGCACATTAACATTGCTAACCTACTCCCCACATTTCTATTCTTGACTATCCTCCAAAAACTATTAAATCAAGGTAATAAGGTTCTTCCCATATTCTACCCTAACAACAATCCTGTAATGCAGGCTAGGATGGTTGTTGGTCCCCCAGCAGTATGTTTACTAGCATCTTCCTGGTGAAAGATGCCCTTACCCAATGAAAAACAATAATAATGACTTTGATATCTACCCCTCAAGCAAACATTTGTAGTTGAGTTAAAATTCAAAGTAGTTCCACTGTTTTCTTCCTTTGCTAAGTGAGAAAGTGGATTCAATCCACCTATAGAAAAGAAACTTCAAGCTCTGAATTGTACTTGTGTGTGTAGTAATTCTACTGTACCATTTGTTATACCTAAAATGCGTTGTGCAGCCATTTTAACGAATGCAAAACTCTTATTTACACATAGACACATTTTCCCACGTGCATTGGCCCTGCGAATTTGAAGTTACAGTCTTCATTCAGACATATTGGACTTCTCTGTTATTAAAATGTAAACTAAGGTGTAAGTTTGGACCTTGGGAGTACTCATTGTGCAATTAGCAGTTGCCTGTGATTGTAACTGGGTCTGAACCTACTCAGTGTAAATTTTTTTTGTGAAGAGAGCTACCTACTTTATAAAACTGGTCTCATAAGATCTCTTACATCTAGATTCAATGCATCAAGTATTAAAAGAAATATGCCCCCACTTGTTGTTTTACTTACTAACATGCAGTTCCTTTGCAATATTTTGAAAAAAAGATTATACAAAGCATCACTGCCAGTTGAGAAATCCTGGCTATCTTTTCAGATCAGCTGTAAACCGTTGTGGCATCAGAACCTGCCTTCGTTCCATCTGCGGCAAGATCAGGACACACACGTTCCAGAGCAGTTCATGGTAAAGAATGAACTGACACCAGGTAAGAATAACCCTAGATCTGTAGAGATACTCAGCCAGGTCTTGGTTGTCCCAAAGGTCCTTTTTTCAGGAGGCAACTGGGCTTCCTTGTTTTTTTCTGTAAAGACGTCTTGCTTCTCATTCAAGAAGCTGGAGCTGAGGAAGCTTCTTGGATGAGAAGAGAAACGTCTTCAAAGAAAAAGCAAGGAAGTCCAGTTGCCTCCTGAAATAAAGCACTTTTTGGGAGTAAATCTGGCGGTTTGGAGTGGAGGTGAAGTTGCGTACAATCCAGAATTATTCATAAAATATCACTTACGAAGTTTCATCTCTCTGGGGGAAGCTGGAAGCCTTGTTGAGTATTGACAATTCACCCGTCTTCTCTTTGTTTTTCTTCCATAGAGGAGAGAGTTCATTGGTGGGATTCCAAATCTTTTGCTACTGGTTCTATGAGAATGTGCTGCGCATGCGCGTGCAGCGCTCAAAGACTGCCCTCGGTGGCAGCGCTAGTGAGCTGAGCTGTTTTTTAGCCCAGCTGAGGCGCGGTAATCTGCTTTGCCCTGTGAATCAGCTAAAAAACATGGGAATATAGGCCAGGGAATGACTGGAACAGGAGGGCGGGGCCAACCAGAGGTGGTATTTGCCGGTTCTTCAAATCACTTAAAATTTCTGCTACCGATTCACCCCAGTGGTGGGTTTCAAAAATTGTTCGAACCTACTCTGTGGGTGTGGCCTCCTTTGTGGGAGTGGCTTGCTGCCCATGTGATGGATGGGAGTGGCTTGCCACCCATGTGACCGGATATGAAGATGCCGACGACACTTGTCAGAACCACCTTAAATTACCTCACATACAGCACTGGCATGCATAAGAATATGGTGTAAACTTGTTTTTTCAAAGGCATCTTTGGTTTGCATTAGAACAAGTTCAACACACGCAATCTTCCGATTGCACCACAAAC